GTGTAAACAATTATTTATTAACGATTGAAAATAGCGCTCAAATATTCCTATTGATTGAAAACCACTACTTGTGTCCATAGGTGTCACTGATGTCAGGATCAGTTTATGCACATTTGTCGTACAGTTTATTCACATTATACACTACATTAACTACATTAAATCATCTAATAATCTAGCTCATTCACATATCATACATAAATATAATTAGTTTAACAAATATATAATTAACCATGTTCAATAAATTTTAAATCCCATATAATAGACATTAATAGTAGTATAGTGTATGTGAAAGCATAGGCTTTGTATGCATTGGGAGCGCACCGGCAGTGCATGTCTACAGGCTTTCCCCTTCATTACTGGGTGTGTGTGTATTGAGCGCCTGTATGTGTCGGCCATTACTGCGCACCGATAGCTCGACTCATTGTGTTGTCAATACAGTTGTCGTTCGATATTAACCACAAATTGAAGACAATATAACCGCCGATAATAACGACACGTTTACACTCAACACACGGTTAACGCAATCGTCGAAAACCACGTGCTTTTCGGACACGTGTTGTATAGTCACTGACAGACACACCGACGCGACAAAGCTATAGCCGTACGCCTCGTGTGGCGATCGCACCGACCGTTTCTTAAGATAATCACACAACTGATCCCTTGTGACCACGTGTGACATGTCTGGCCGATACAGGGACTGGAACATCGACTGCAAGGTATATGTGGGTAATTTGCAGGAGAATGCCATTAAGTCGGACGTGGAGTCGGCTTTCGGCAAATACGGGCCCCTCAAGAATGTATGGGTCGCCCGAAACCCCCCCGGATTTGCTTTCGTCGAGTTCGAGGACGCCAGGGATGCCGAGGACGCCGTCAGAGGGCTGGACGGCACGTACGTACACCACCTCATCAGAGCAGTGCATCCCTTTCCCCATTACCACCACATGAGTGGTGTGTTCCTTAGCCACCACCTCATGAGCTCTATATCCCATATCCATCTCCTTATGAGTGGTCTATCCCTTAACCACTGCCTCATGAGTAGTGTATTTGTCACGTATTATAATCTAATGATATGTTTGATGCGGTGTTACAGTCGGATAGGAGGCGCCCGCGTGAGGGTCGAGATGTCTCACGGAAGGACCCGTCGCGGAGGCGGTGGTGGTGGTGGTGGTGGCGGCGGAGGAGGCAGTGGTGGTAGTCGTCGGTACGGCGGCGGTCGAGACAGGTATGGCTGGTATTGATTGAGTCCAATGTATTGGACCACTGCTTGAATAGTATTGACGCTCGTATTGTGTGTCTGTCCCCACAAACAGCGGTAGACGTGAGTATTCTCGTGGACGCCGTTCCCGAAGTAACTCCCGGAGCAGATCCCGTTCCCGGTAATTATGAGCATCACTTTACACATCTTACTCTCTATTCATATGTCTGGGAAAGTATGGCCAGAATTAGTGTGTTTTTGACTGAGGTTTATAACTTCTTTAATGTGGACAGGGATTTATGAGTGATATCTAACGGCATTTGTGATGCCTTTCCCACTTCTGGCCATACTTTTGAATATATGAGTCGTTTATTAATGATTTTATTTAATGGGAAACATTATTAACTCTGAATATGAGGACAATTTGTGTTTAATTTGTTGTTTTTTACGCTTAACTACTAATCTGATAGTAATTCCTTATAAATGAGATATTAATCCGAAAACACAAATCAGAAAAGTATTTAAAATCTTTAAATAAGTGGCAAAAAGTCATGTATTTTCATATATGGTTTTTATAGACATATCTCTACTACACATCTACTGAAAGACGTGTATTGACTGCAAAGAGTGTGTAATGTCTTATTGTAGACATACCGGTGCCCTTCCGAGAGGGCCATCCGATGCACACATAAAACAAAAATATTTTGTTTTAAGAAATTGTATTTAAAATACAAAACCAAACGATAGCATCGATAGCAGCGACAGCCGCCGCGCCTCCTAAACACAGACCCAAACCATTAGCTAAATAGCGTATCTCGAGTGAGACATACCGTTCCCTATAAAGCGGAAGGTGTGAACGCCGTCCGACGGCCTCATCGGGCGCCTACACATCGACTATAACTGC